AGTGTAAAAAGAGAGCAAATGAGAGAGTGGGTGAGATGTTATCAACAAATTTTGTTGAAAATAAGAAAAAGTTTTGGAGTGAGATTAACAAGTTAAGGAAGCCTAGAGAACAAATGGATTTGTCAGTTAAAAATAGGAGAGGAGAGTTATTAAATGGAGAGTTAGAGGTATTGGGAAGATGGAGGGAATATTTTGAGGAATGGTTAAATGTTGATGAAGATAGGGAAGCTGTGATTTCATGTATAGGGCAAGGAGGAATAACATCTTGTAGGAGTGAGGAAAAGCCAGTTTTGAGTGTGGGGGAAGTTCGTGAGGCAGTAGGTAAAATGAAAGGGGGTAAGGCAGCTGGGATTTATGGGATAGAAATGTTAAAAGCAGGGGATATAGTTTTAGAGTGGTTGGTGCTATTATTTAATAAATGTATGGAAGAGGGTAAGGTACCTAGGGATAGGCAGAGAGCATGCATAGTTCCTTTGGACAAAAGAGAGTGCAAAAATTATAGGGGGATAAGTCTGTTGAGTACACCTGGTAAAGTGTATGGTACAGTTATTATTGAAAGAATTAAGATTAAGATGGAGAATAGGATAGCAGATGAACAAGGAGGCTTTAGGAAAGGTAGGGGGTGTGGACCAGGTGTTTACAGTGAAACATATAAGTGAACAGTATTTAGATAAGGCTAAAGAGGTTTTTGTGGCATTTATGGATTTGGAAAAGGTGTATGACAGGGTGGATACTGGGGCAATGTGGCAGATGTTGCAGGTGTATGGTATAGGAGGTAGGTTACTTAAAGCAGTTACGAGTTTTTACGAGGATAGTTGAGGTAGATGTGGAGACAAAAAACGTTATCTATGGAGACAAAGAAGGGAATGTACGAAAGTATAGTAGTAGCAACACTCTTATATGGGTGTGAAGCTTGGGTAGTGAATGCAGCAGCGAGGAGGTGGTTGGAGACAGTGGAGATGTCCTGTCTTAGGGCAATGTGTGGTGTAAATATTATGCAGAAAATTCGAAGTATGGAAATTAGGAGAAGGTGTGGAGCTAATAAAAGTATTAGTCAGAGGGCTGAAGAGGGGTTGTTGAGGTGGTTTGGTCATTTAGAGAGAATGGATCAAAGTAGAATAACATGGAGAGCGTATAAATCTGTAGAGAAAGGAAGGCGGGGTAGAGGTAGTCCTCAAAAAGGTTGGAAGGAAGGGGTAAGGGAGGTTTTGTGGGCGAGGGGCTTGAACTTCCAGCAGGCGTGCATTAGCGTGTTCGTTAGGAGTGAATGGAGACGAATGGTATTTGGGACCTGACGATCTGTTGAAGCATGAGCAGGGTAATATTTAGTGAAGGAATTCAGGGAAACCGGTTATTGTTATATAGATGGACTTGAGTCTTGGAAATGGGAAGTACAATGCCTGCACTCTAAAGGAGGGGTTCGGGATATTAGCAGTTTGGAGGGATATATATGTGTTGTGTATCTTTATACGTATATGCTTCTAAACTGTTGTGTTCTGAGCACCTCTGCAAAAACAGTGATTATGTGTGAGTGTGGTGAAAGTGTTGAATGATGATGAAAGTATTTTCTCTTTGGGGATTTTCTTTCTTTTTGGGCCACCCTGCCTTGGTGGGAGACGGCCGACTTGTTAAAAAAAAAAAAAAAAACTCGTAAGAAAATATAAGAAATCCCAGAGGAGTGTGTATATGTATGCCTGTACATGCATGTGTAGTGTGACCTACGTATAAGTAGAAGTAGTAAGATGTACCTGAAATCTTGCATGTTTTCGAGACAGAAAAAAGACACCAACAATCCTACCATCATGTAAAACAATTACAAGCTTTCGTTTTGCACTCACTTGGGAGGACGGTAATACCTCCGTGGGTGGTTGCTGTCTACCAACCTACTACCTAGAACATTTGAAATCTATATAGTATAAATATGTGGAGAAATATTTAGAGAGTAATGAGACTCTCAAAACTCATCAAGGGTATAAAGGTAGAGTGGACCCCCAGTTATCAGCCGTAATCTGTTCCTGAAGGTCGTCCGATGATCGAAATGGCCGATAACCGAATTAATATTTCCCATAAGAATTAATGGAAATAAAATTAATTCGTTCCAAACAAAAATATTTACAAATTTTTTTTTTTTTTTTTTAAATTAACCCTTAAACGGTCCAAACAGATTGACGTTCAAATTCGTAGCGCTACAAAAGTAAATCTACTTTTTTTTTACATATTTTCAAATATAACAAAAAAAAATGTACAAAAAGGTTTTTTTTTACACATTTTCAAATGTAAAACAAAAAAGATCTACATTTTTTTACATACTTTCAGATGTTGAAAAAACGTATATATACATTTGGACCATTTAAGGGTTAAATAAGTATTACATACCTTTATTGAAGGCTAATGCTGGCTTCTGGAAGATAGCGAGGAGGAAAGAGGGAGGAGTTAGTGTTTGGAAGGGGAATCCCCCTCCATGAAGACTTTAGGTAGCAATGCCTTCTCTGGGGGTTACTTCCTCTCTCTGTCTTTTAATGCCACTAGTACCAGCTTGAGAGTCACTGGACCCCTGTCTCACAAAATAACTGTCCAGAGTGCTCTGTTTTTGGCATCTCTAAGATTTCCCTGAAGTGGGACAGGGTTTTGTCACTGAATATGTTGCAGATATGGCTTGTTTCAGCTTTGTCAGGGTGGTGTTTCTCTACAAAAGCTTGCACCCTGGTCCACATTGCCTCACCATGCCTTACAACACTGTGTATGCCACTACACTTCTTAGATCTATCAAACCATCCTTTGCTGGCCCAAAACTCACAAACTGCAGCACTTGTTCCAGGCATTTTCTTTGCAAGATCCTCATGCAACTGCCTTGCCTTCTCACAAATGATCGACTCCACTACACTGTCTCCCACTAATTCTTTTTCCTTAATCCACAATAATAATAACTTTTCCATCTCTTCCATTATCCGTGTCCTTTGTTTAGTTAGAAAAGCTACTCCCCTTTTGCAACATTAGCATCTTTGATTTGTTCTTTCTTTGCCCGGATAGATGTAATTGTTGATTTATTCTTGCTGTACATCCTGGCAAGTTCCACCACCTTCATACCACTCTCAAAATTTTCTATCACTACACACTTAAATTCTATGGAGTTTCTCACTTTCTTTACCACAGGAACTTTCTTTGGAGCCATGGTTACTTATTTCACAGATGCACTGCAAGAAAAACCACTAAAAACAATGGTAAACAAGTGAAATATTTGGATGTGTGAGCAGAAGCTTCCTCAGCCACTGAGAGACAAAGCCAAACTGAAGCGCAAGCTGCCCCAGCTGGCAGATGGACGCGTCCAAAATGGCTGATAACCGAGCCAACGGCCGATAACCAAACACCAAAACCCCCGCCGATAACTGAGTTGGCCGATAACCAAACCAGCCGATAACCGGGGGTCCACTGTATATACAAAATTTACCAACTAGCATTCAGTGCAAAAAAAGTCTATTGTTAACAGTAGACAGGTTGCTGGAGTGTAAACAAGGTGACAGCTATGATGGGATTCATGAAAACCATGGTTTGAAGTAAGGAGGTATGGGTCATTCCAGAAGAGTTTGAGGAACAAAGTAAAGATTTTGAATGCTAAAGGCTCAAATATCCAGCAAGATTGTGCAAGTATGTTAGACTGGAGTAGAGACAAGTGGCTTTTATGGCTTCACATACTGTTGGAGTGTGAGCAGGGACTCATTATGTTCCAGTTAAGAGGGTCATTTGAATTATCTGCACTTCTGCCAAGAGTTATCAAATGAATGATGGTGAATACATTTCCTTTACTGGGTCACCCTACCCTACTGGGAATGGCCAGTGTGTTAAAAAAATCAAAGGTCTTCCAATGGGACTAAGGTAATAGAGCTGTAACTCATGAGCCTAAAACCCAATTATGTTAAAATTAGTCTTAATTTTTACATGAAAATGTTATTTTTTTCCTACAAATTTAGGTAATAATTTTTTTAATGAATCATAGACTATGAACTCAAGATTGGCAGAAATTCCAGAAGCACGCGTTACAAATATTCTAGCATCTGAAGGGTACAGACTATTGCCATTACACTGCTTTGTATATTATAACCTGAGGTCTTCAAACTTGCATTATCATAGTTTCTCACTAAACTATCTGCAAATTTGTAACTGTAAATGTAGTCAAGATTTAACACAAGTTTTCATTATTACATCCTCTTGACAATCCCAGACATACTGTACTTTTGTGTACTCATGAAACAGCACTACAAAACATGATTACAGTAATATTAGTGCAATATAAATGCTGCTTAAATTATTTTAAAATATTTGTAATAGATCCTAGGTAGTAGGTTGGTAGACAGCAACCGCCCAGGGAGGTACTACCGTCCTGCCAAGTGAGTGTAAAACGTAAGCCTGTAATTGTTTTACACGATGGTAGGATTGCTGGTGTTTTTTCTGTCTCATAAACATGCAAGGTTTCAGGTACGTCTTGCTACTTCTGCTTACACTTAGGTCACACTGCACATACATGTACAAGCATATGTATACACACCCCTCTGGGTTTTCTTCTATTTTCTTACTAGCTCTTGTTCTTGTTTATTTCCTCTTATCTCCATGGGGAAGTGGAACAGAATTCTTCCTCCGTAAGCTATGCGTGTTGTAAGAGGCGACTAAAATGCCAGGAGCAAGGGGCTAGTAACCCCTTCTCCTGTATATATTACTAAATATGAAAGGAAAAACTTTTGTTTTTCCTTTTGGGCCACCCCACCTCGGTGGGTTACGGCTGGTGTGTTGAAAGAAAGAAAGATTTGTAATAGATCTGGTAGGCCAAAAACTTACCCTACATTATAGTAAGAGAAACAGTTCCCAGTTCTCAGGTTTAAAGAACTTCATATTGAAGTAACATGCAATATGGTTAAGCCAATCAAAAAAAAATTAATAATGCATTTTGAAAGAGAAAGAACTGCAGATTTAATGAGCAAGTTTGAAATCATCATCATATATCTGACCTGTTGAGTAACTGATGAACAGTCAATGTTTCAAGTCTGAAGGAGAATGAGTATGCTGATTTTGGCTCTTCTTCCCTTAGTTGATTCAGCACCTGCAGATATTTAATTAGAAACAATACTGTACTATGCATAGTATAACAACTTAACAGGAATTTTAGGGTTAGAAAATTAGGTGTTTCAATCTTATTTTATGCACTATACTCAATGAAATTACATTAACGTATGTGTCTGTACGCAACAATGTGTGTTCTAAAATGCAAGGTAATCAGTGCTTTTCCTATAAGCATATGTGGAAATCAAGAAATTTATGTGTAAGTAAAAAGGGTAATGTACCCGAATACAGTGATACCAACAGGTTTATACGGGTATGAGGCATTTGCTTCAGATGTTGCAGCAAGGAGGAAGCTGGAGGCAGTGGAGATGTCATGTTTGACAGCAGTCTGGGGTGTAAATATTATGCTTAGAATTCAGAGCATAGAAATTAGAAGACCAAGTGGGGTTTCCAAAGGTATAATTCAGTGAGCTGAGGAGAGGATTATTGTGGTGGTTTAGGTATTTAGAGATGGAGAACAATTTGATGTCAAGAAACTCGGGAATGATCTAAACCTGGTGGAACTATAGATTCAATTCACATTATAGGAAGATCTGCCTGCCATTTCTAGACAGCCTCACCCAAAGGAAAACCAACAGTTTCTTTAACTCTTAAACTGTCCAAACATAGATCTACGTTTGCATGTGTAGCGCTCCGAATGTAGACCAACATTTTATTTTTCATTCCTTCAAATTTGGCACAATAGGCTTGAATCGCCTAGACATGAAAGAATGGGTCTGTGCACTCAGTGTGTGCAGTATTAAAAAAAATCTGGGAGCATTTAGTACCTTGTGGGAGCACCAGTTCAATTGAGCACCAGCTAGAGCAAATAGCGTGGCAAACACCAGGGATTCACTGATGCCATGTTGCATTAACACTCCCATTTTAAGAGGAAAGTAAAAATAGGTTAGATAAATACATGAGTGAGTGTGGGTGGGTGAGAGTTGGACCTGACTAGCTAGTGCTACTAGGTCTGATGTGGATGCGACCTGATTAGGTGGGTCATTGGTCTAAGATGGGGGGGATGGGGGGGATGGACCTGCCTTGCATGGGCCAGTAGGCCTGTTGCAGTGTTCCGACTTTCTTATGTTCTTACGTATTCGGCAGGCTGACCAGCTGGTCGGCTGGCTTTGGCTGCCTCTCTGTCTATATCTCTGTATCTGTCTCTCTCTCACATGTGCACAAGTACAATTATACGTAGTGTAAATTACCTAGGATAACCCAAAAATTCCAGGCAAAGACAGATAGATAGATAGATAGATAGACAGACAGACAAACATGTTTGTGTGTATCATGACAACAGATGGTGGTGTCTCTGGTTTGGCTATGGAGGACTGTAGCGCAGCTCTAGGGCCAGCACAGATTAACCCTTTGACTGTTTTGGTCATACATATATACGTCTTACGAGGTACCGTGTTTGACGTATATATACTCATAAATTCTAGTGGCCTCAAATCAAGCAGGAGAAAGCTGGTAGGCCCACATGTGAGAGAATGGGTCTGTGTGGTCAGTGTGCACCATATAAAAAAAATCATGGAGCACGAAGTGCATAATGAGGAAAAAAAAAATAAAAAAGTTTTTTTTTAATTAAAATGCCGACTTTGTGGTCTATTTTCGTATAGTATTTATGGTTGTATTCTCGTTTTCTTGGTCTCATTTGATAGAATGGAAAACATATTATAGAAATAGATGTGATTTTGATTGGTTTTACTATAAAAAGAACCTGGAAATGGAGCTCAATGTAAGGGAAATGTTTGATTTTTGCCGATGTTCAAAAGTAAACAAATGATGTCATTGTCCAATAAATGTCCAACTAGCCACTCTAATATGCAGTCATGAATGGGTTGACATTATTTGTTCAATTATTACAGTATTTCAGTAGTCTGCATAACAGTAAATCCTCTATGTTTTATTTGAAACAAAAAAAAAAATTCATAACAGAAAACAAGATTAACCCTTTGACTGTTTTCGACGTATAAATACGTCTTACGAGCCAATGTTTCTGACGTATATATACTCAATAATTCTAGAGGCTTCAAATCAAGTGGGAGAAAGCTGGTAGGCCCACATGTGAGAGAATGGGTCTGTGTGGTCAGTGTGCACCACATAAAAAAAATCCTGCAGCACACATTGCGTAATGAGAAAAAAAAAACTCTGATCGTTTTTTTGGAATAAAACGCCGACTTTGAGGTGTATTTTCGTATAGTATTTATCATTGTATTCGCGTTTTCATGGTCTTAGGTGATAAAATGTTAAACATATTACAGAAATAGAGATGATTTTCATTACTTTTACGATGAAAACGACCTTGAAACTGAGCTCAAAGTAGCGGAAATGTTCGATTTTTACCAATGTTCAAGAGTAAATAAATCACACCACACGTCCAATACACGTCAACTGGGGAGTCTAATATTCTTTCACTAGTGCACTGATATTATTTATACCATTTTTACAATAATGCAGTTGTCTGCATAACAGTAAATTTTGTATTTTTTTTTTTGTATGAATAAAAAATCAAAATAGAAAGCAATAATAATATAAGAGGGGCCTAGAGATGTGACTAATGAACAGAGCATATGTTATTTTAGTGCCACGAATGTCTACCTTGTTTATTCTGGACCCTATTTTGAAATTGGCATCTTTTTTATTTTGCGTGAAATTGGCCAAATTGTCAATTTCTGACCACCATATTGGGTAGTCCAAATTAGTAAATGGGAGGTTTCTTGTACTCAGCTGATAGATAAAATGGAGTTCTAAAGAAATAGCTATGAGTTTGGTCAACTGAAACAATGGAATTGGCTGAAAATAGGGCTCAAAGTCGGCGAAATCGCCGATACGCATATGTCGCCGAGACCGCTAACTTCGCGGGAGCATAATTCCATGAGTTTTCGACCAAATTTCGAACTTTTGGTGTCATTACCATCGGGAAAAGATTCTCTATCATTTCATAAGAAAAAATAATTTTTTTTTTTTCAAAAATTGAGTGACAGAATGACAGTTTCAGAGAGGGGCCTGAAACAGTCAAAGGGTTAATATCAGAGGGGCCTGGAGACGTGACTGATGAACAAAGAAAATGTTATTTTTGAGCCAGGAATGTCTGCATTGTTCATTCTGGACCTTATAGTGGACCCTCGCCTAACGTTGGCATGACATAACGTTAAATCCGCCTAGCGATACATTTTAACGCAAAAATTTTGCCTCGTCTAGCGCTAAAAAACTCGCTCAACACAATTCGTCCGAGACGCGTCCATGTGCGGCCTGAGCCAGCCTCACTTGTTCCGCCGGTGGCATTGTTTACAAGCCAGCCTCCGCAGTCACATCCAAGCATACAATCAGAACATTTCGTATTATTACAGCGTGTTTAGTGATTTCACCTGCAAAATAAGTGACCATGGGCCCCAAGAAAGCTTCTAGTGCCAACCCTACAGGAATAAGGGTGAGAATTACTATGGATATGAAGAAAGAGATCATTGCTAAGTATGAAAGTGGAGTGCGTGTCTCCGAGCTGGCCAGGTTGTATAGTAAACCCCAATCAACCATCACTACTATTGTGGCAAAGAAAACGGCAATCAAGGAAGCTGCTTTTGCCAAAGGTGCAACTTGGTTTTCGAAACCGAGATCGCAAGTGATAGAAGATGTTGAGAGACTGTTATTGGTGTGGATAAACGAAATACAGATAGCAGGAGATAGCATCTCTCAAGCGATCATATGTGAAAAGGCTAGGAAGTTGCATGAGGATTCAATTAGAAAAATGCCTGCAACTAGTGATGATGTGAGTGAATTTAAGGCCAGCAAAGGTTGGTTTGAGAGATTTAAGAAGCGTAGTGGCATACATAGTGTGATAAGGCATGGTGAGGCTGCCAGTTTGGACCAAAAAGCAGCTGAAAAATATGTGAAGGAATTCAAGGAGTACATAGAGAGTGAAGGACTGAAACCTGAACAAGTGTTTAATTGTGACAAAACAGGCCTGTTTTGGAAGAAAATGCCAAGCAGGACCTACATTACTCAGGAGGAATTGGCACTCCCAGGACATAAGCCTATGAAAGACAGGCTTACTCTGTTAATGTGTGCCAATGCTAGTGGTGATTGCAAAGTGAAGCATTTATTGGTGCATCACTCTGAAACTTCCAGAGCGTTCAGACAAAAGAATATCCTCAAGGCTAATTTGTGTGTGCTGTGAAGGGCAAACAGTAGCATGGGTCACTAGGGACTTTTTCTATGACTGGTTACACAATGCTTTTGCCCCCACTGTGAAAAATTACCTAACTGAAAAGAAATTAGACCTTAAGTGCCTCCTGGTGTTAGACAATGCCCCTGGTCATCCTACAGACTTGGCAGAACGACTTTGTGGGGACATGAGTTTCATTAAGGTCAAGTTTTTTGCCTCCTAATACCACTCCTCTCCTGCAGCCCATGGACCAGCAGGTCATTGCAAACTTCAAAAACTGTATGCAAAAGCTCTGTTTGAAAGGTGCTTTGTAGTGACCTTAGAAACTCAATTGACTCTAAGAGACTTCTGGAGAGATCACTTTAATATCCTCAATGTGTAAACCTTACAGGTAAGGCTTGGGAGGGAGTGACTAAGAGGACCTTGAACTCTGCTTGGAAGAAACTGTGGCCACAATGTGTAGACAAAGGGGATTTTGAAGGATTTGAGGCTAACCCTTAGAAGCGTATGCCAGTTGAAGAATCAATTGTGGCATTGGGGAAGTCCTTGGGGTTGGAGGTTAGTGGGGAGGATGTGAAAGAGTTGGTGGAGGAGGACAATGAAGAACTAACCACTGATGAGCTGTTAGATAATCTTCAACAGCAAGAGGCCACACCTGAGGAAACTGCTTCGGAGGAGGAGAGACAGAAATTGAAGAAGTTGCCTACTTCAAAGATTAAGGAAATATGTGCAATGTGGCTTGAAGTGCAAACCTTTATGGATGAAAATCACCCTCAGACAGCTATTGCAAGCCGTGCTGGTGACTATTACACTGACAATGTTGTGAAACACTT